CCCCTTGCAGCAGCAGGTGGCGTTGAACAGCTCACGTTATTCTCACACTCATAATCATTTTGTCTTACATGTAGTAAAAACTTTCCCAAAAGAGAGAATCCACAAGAGAAATTCAACAGGTTTTTATAGATGTAGCAGACTTTCTACATGACTAAAGTAGGGGTCAAGTTCTTCCAACTTTAATCCCACTGAGAAATAAGACTATAAATAATGTATTAAACAGCAAAACCAAGTGTGATCGAGTAATATCTTAATTGAGTTTTATTTTTCTATCAAAAAAAACCCTCTTGAAACACCACAGAATTCATGTGGTGATAAGGTGATGTTATTGTGTGTCAGCTCATTCCCTCTGCAGCAGATACACAAACCTGAGCTAGTTTGGTGCCATTCTTTGCACACCCTACCTCCATAGGCAGAGGAAATGGTTCTCCCTCCAAATACACTGTCAGTGTGTCTTCGCAGAATGTAGAGCAGTGTTGCAGATTTGCCCTATGGTAAGTGACAACAGAATGACAATTAGCACCTCCTGAACTTCTTTCTGAAACTGTTTCAAAAAATTAAGGGGCATTGCAGAAGCAAATGATTTCTGAAGTTTATTTTTAAAATATGGCATGCACATAAAAAAAAAATAATTTATTTTTACCTGCACACGGGTAAAATTTAAGAACAGAAATCTTTTACAAGCAAATAACTATATATCAGTTTACATAGTTGGTCCTTGCACTGATTATGAGTATTTAAGAAATCCATCCATCTTCCTTTCATCAACAGTCCTAGTTTTCCATTTGCATATCTAATAATTTATGGCGTGTCCTGACCCCAAGCAGTAATTGAACCAATAGATCTTCAGCCTAGATTTACTCCAGTCTGGCTGCCACAGTAATGTAACTCTGCAGGAGTTTTGGATTACTCCAAATGCCATCTCCTCTTCTGAGAGGTTGACAGTCACAGGCAAAATTTGACCTCCCAAATGTCAAGGCAGAAACTCCATCGCCTAATTTAGACTAACTCTCCTTTTGGAATACTTCAGATAAAAACAAGAGGGCACAATGATTACTCCCACAGTTACCCCGGAAAGTGTGTCTTTAATGCAAGACCATAATGACAAATGAATTCTCTAAGAGTTTAAAATCATGTAAGAGCCTAAATCTTAGAGTGAAAGGGGGAAATCTATGTACCCGAGCTCGTAACTAGTGATGTAAAAATTAAGAAGAAAAAATAAAGAGAGAGAAAAACTGTTACATTAGAAAGAAACCTCGTGATCATTAGACTGATGAGACTTGAGCTGAGAGGAGATTTGGAAGGGAGACGGGGGTGCTTTTTTGCCTTGAGCAAGCCATGGCACAGGGCAGAAACACCCAGCCAAGTGCCTGTGTTTCATCTTCTCAAAATGTGGTTTAGAGGCCAATTTCAAGGGAGCATTATATGCTTCAGTAAAGTGTTCTCAAAAGCTTTGAACAAGAAAAATGCCAGCAAACACACAGCTCTGCACTGTTGCAGTCTCTTTGATGAATACTAACTATAGAGAAAATGCAGCCACGGAAGCTGTGGGTTTACAGCAGGTATTACTTGGGAAACTCCTGCTGTTATTCAGGCACTTCTGGCTACAGGTAAAGGAGCAGGTGCAGAAACTGGTCACACTTCTGCTGCTTCCAAATTGCATATCAGATACTATGAAAAGGCACTGGGTTTGAAATTTTGTTTTTCTGGAAAGGAGCTCAGTTGAATAAGCCCTGGCAGACACACAGAGCTCTGCTGTTGCTACTGACACAAGTCCCAAAACAACAGGCTGTGAGAAAATGCTACTGTCTCACAAGTGTGGAGGGAAAAAAAAAAAAGAGCAGCGAAGGTACAAGTAAGGAAAATCTGATCCAGTCCCCAATTAATGGCTTAAACAGTATTTATCTATTGATGATTAAGTGCTGCCCTTGGTCCTTGGTAGCGAAGTTCAATGATGATAGACATCTTGGAAAACAGGTAGATAGACAGAAAGACAGATATCCTCAGCTACTTCAACCATCCATAATATCCCATGTGCTGCCATCACTGCTTTAGCCTGACCAATTGCCTCAGTAACATGTTCCATCTTGTCTAATCAATATTTGCAGTTCAGTAACTCTGCAGAGTTACAGCTTTCTGCTGGCACGGGAAGAACCTCATCTTGCCATATTGTGTGAGAAGATAAGTCATATGGAAGAAAAAAACACATTATCTATTTAAATACTTTAATTGCTTTCATTGACTTGTTTTTGGCTCTGATACCTTCTGTACCTGTTCTGCAAATAACTTTAGAGCAAAAGGAAAAAACTGAGGTATCAGAAAATTAATGAACATTGAAAACTTTAACAGGAAATCTGGGTTTGGTGCCCAGCCTCCTGTCCAAGCAATTTTTGTGTACCTCAGTTCTTTAGATTTAAAATGGGATTAATGACACCATTAAATCACCTGTTGTAAGACTAAGGACATTCATGTGATTAGCAGACCTACATAAAAACAAGATCCAGAGGCAGAATAGCTGCTGTTTCCTCCTCCTTTACGGAGGAGTAAAGACAAGGGTGCTGAGAGCCTAGTTACTCATGAACAACTCTGAATTTTGCTCTATAGAGGAGACATAGTAAAGAATCTGCACCCCAGCTCAGGTTTTATCATGGTAAGGACAGCACAGTAGATGAGGCAACTGCAAGAGGTGGTACAAGAAAACCTCCCTTTAGGAGGAAGATAAAATGTAAGGAAGCTCAAGTAAGTGATGGGTTGGTTTCAGGTTGAAAGTTAGTTTTCCTTTTTTCTTCCTGTTTTTTTCAGGTTAAAGTCACTAGATGAAAACCGTGTGTATTTGGGGGGCACTTGTTCTCCAAAGATAACTGACAGAGGAAAGGAAAACAAAAAAGTACAGCATCATGGAAGCAGCAGAAACCAGCTCACTGGAGGTGGCAGATGGACAGGACACTGGTAGTTATGGCTAATATTTAGTCATTCTCAATAAGATCTGTCCCAGCGTGGGGAGAAGCTGGAAAATACCCCTGAGTGCTCTCTGTGGTTTCCTCAGCAGAGGCCTCTGCTGAGCTAAGAGTAACTGCCTGAGACAAGCTCAAAAGCAGGCTGAGCATTTCACCTTTACATACCCTTCTAAGGACCATACACTGCTCCTCTTACAGGCAATGTTGAGAGGAAAGGAAATTCCAAAGGGACAGACGAGTGCAAATAGATCTGTCTTATTTCTAAGGAAAGCAAAAATCAAGAGCCTTATGAAATAAGAATGTTCACACGTGGTTTGCAATTAGAGAGTATTTTATATATTTTGCCATAATTTTGTTTATTAAAGATTTAAAAGTCACTTGAGCAGTTGTATTAGAGGGGCTGTGATTTACCAAGAGATTTAAGGTAAACCTTTTGGATAATTTCAAATTGTTTTCTGTCTTTGTTTTTCTGAATTTGTCATGCTGAAACTGAACCAATTTATTGATTTATCAGAAGTGTTTTATTCTTCATTCTACATCTGTGGAGACCTAAGCTATAAACCAGGAAAGCAGTAGAAAATTGTATTTGTAAATATTTTAGAGAAGACTACTGTTCTCTGGAACTTTATGCTGTTTTCTGCTATTGAGTGCTTTGCAGAAGCTCATTTGGGAAATGTATTCTTTGATTTTGCTAATCAATTGATCAACATTTGAAAGACACACAGCTATTGTGAAGAGCAGTTCTTTCAAATATCCATTTGACTGTGTTTGTGATGCTTGCTTTATTCAACTCTGCTCCAGGCAATTTAAAATGTACCACTATATAATAAGCATGGGAAGGTTAGCATTCACATTTTAGGGATAAAACATTTTGACAGTTCTAGTCTACATTTGCATTTAAAAATCTTAATGCCTTTGATTAGACCCTATGTTTATCATAGGATCTCTTGTAGGCATTATTACTGTGAGGTTGTTACCTTTCAGGATTTGTTCTGGACCGTGTGTTTGTGGGGAAGCACAGAAGCCTGCTCGTTCCACAGACACACTGATTTCTGGTTCATGGTATGTCTCATTTTCTGTAATTTCTGATGGGGCTCTACTGCTGAGTCATTTGTGTTTGTTTCTGAGATTATTTTTTGTGTGTGCAGAGTTAGGCAGGTACATATACATAGTTCTGTCTAACATGCTTGCTATGTTTTTTCACAAGTCTTCAAATTCTTAATTTTTGGTCCACAGCAGAATCCCCAAGGGGACAGAGTCAGGCATTGTCTGGAGAGAGACAAGAGATCCTGCCACGATAGCCATTATCTTTCTCACCAGTGAACAGGTGATGCTTAAACACAGCATGTGCACAGACAATGGCCAGCATTCTGAGCTCCTGAAAATGATCACTGGCACAGGCTGATGTCTGAAGGACTGGTCACTAAAACTATCAGTATTAATTGCTCCCCTTTTATTTTATCCACCCTCTTTCTGCATTAGTGACTTTCAGTAGGGATTCAAGTAACCTGATATAACATCTGCAACACTGCTATCATCAAGAAAACATTCATCCAGATAATAAGACTGTCTCAAGATACACTGTCTCAAGAGACCTGTGTGTAAATTAGACCAAGCAATAGAAAAAAACCTCAAAAACTAACAAACACACTGGTCAAATACTGCAGACTTTTCAGAAGAGCAGGAATTAAGCAAAATAACATTGGAGGTTTTACAGGAAAATGTGTTTGAGCTGAAGGTTTTCTCCCTGATCTTTTAGCCAATCTCTAGAGACTTTGTGCCATTATTATTAGATTTACCTTGGGAAGGACATAGGTGGTACCAGAAATCTTGTGCAGTGAATTCTCCAGGAGCTCCTTCCTGCACTAGGCACCGTTTTTCTATCTGCAAAGCCCTGAAAACTCAAACACTCTCATAAGCTGCTGTGAACTATCCTTTTCCATACTTTCCTTCACATTTGGGAGCTGTTTTCTTCTGACTCAGCATTAAATAGCAGAGAAGGGAAGGACTCAGAATTCAGAGATAGGATGTGTACAAAGTCATGGTTCTGATTGTGGAGGGAACCACTAGTAAATCCTTTCTGTGGTCCCAGATTGGTTCTTCCATTGAAAAACATCAAAATCTGAATTATACAGAGGTTATGTAGCACTATGAGTAAGTACTTTGGCCTTTCATGTCTTATTATGTTGTTAATTAGTTAACGTTTGTAAAGCACTTCGAAGATGAAAAGCCCTATATAAGTTGTAAGTGTTATTATCTCTAGAGACCTAGGTTCAATTCAAAGGTGCTTAATTACATATGCCATAAATTAGACTTAATGAGTTGTGGAATCATATGTTTTATGCAATGCATGCAGGTTTCTCAGATCTGTGTCTTGTGGTCTGTTGCAGTACTTCTTTAGGTATTCAAAGCTGTTAAGAAAATTACACAAAAATAGGGGAGATAATTTCTAAAAATAATCGAGTTGCATTTCAGCACTATTCAGGACTTGGTGAAGCAAACTGCCAGGAGCTTTGCTCTGCTGTATCTAGGGATTTTCCAGTAACCGACTTCAAATTGCTGAAGGTAAGTTTTGGGGATTTTTTAACTGTGGTATAGACAAAATTCTAATTCATACTTCTGTATTTTGACTTAGCAAGAGGGTGCTGAGAGGTATTGGTATGGCTGCTGCCCTTCCAGTAACGCCCTGAAATGTCCCACCAGGGGACCTCTCGGTGTTGGGTTATGTTCACAAGCACAAGAAGAGAAGTTCCCATCTCTGGAGATACTATCATGTAATTTCCAACAAGCCATTACAAGTGGGTAATGTGCAAAAAGAGGAAGTCACATTTATAGGAAAATGTGGTTTCATTGGCTTTGCAGAGCTGAGACTTTCCATGTTATGTAACTTAACATATTTGTTAAGTGGCCAGAAAGTTACAAACTTTGCTCCCCTGCAGCCCCAGCACGAGGGCAGCTGTCCAGCAGTGAGAACAGGCGAGTTCAGAGACACAGAAAAACAGCAGGATCATTCACCTGTTCTGAAGTGGCTCCCACGTGTTCCTGCAGCAGAATATATCCATTTTACCTTGAGCCTTTCACGGGCATATAGCAAGAGGCAGGATTTATCCTGCTTATAAATATGTTAGGAGTGATTGTGTTCATTAGTACAACCTAAGTAGATTGGAAAAACTAATTAATAGCAATTTACTATGAGCGTCTCTAACAGACTGACTTCAAAGTATTTATCCTGAAGTGGAAGTTATTTGATTTGGTTAATGTTTTATTGTAAGCATATGCAGACTGTCTTCCAGGGGAAAATGTATTTTTGAGTACTCCAGACAAGTGAAACTGGTGAGCCCGCAGTCCAGAGAAAGCATCTGTAACCGCAGCCAAAAGAGGAACGAGGTTTCCGACGTTCTTTCAAGACATGTGTTTGAAGCATGGGTTCCCATCACTTTCAGAGTCACTTGCAGGCCTTTTTCTTTATATAGATTTAGACAAGTCGATGTGGGCCTAGATTCAGCGTGATGAATGCCTTTGTGGTTTCTCCCTCGTCCGTTTTCCCCTGTGCTATTTAATCATTTATTTTGAACAAGAGTATGTTCTCAAGAAACTTGAAATGGGACAAAGCATAGTTTCTGACAGTGTTTATCACTCATTTTTCATATTTCTAAGAAATGGATCTAGTTTTACACCTTATTTACTGGGGCACATCTCCTTCAAAAACAAGATATAGTTTTACTGAATACTTTTCATATACTCTAATAAATAGGAACTTCACATGAATGCTGATTTGAGCTCCAGGCCATGGTTAAAACATTTAAATAGTATAGCAAACTTATCAACAAACCTTTCCTTCCCCACCCTTCCCTTTTTAGAGTGAACAGATTTTTATCTGACTAGCACGTGACTTGGGGATTTTTACAAGCACATTTAGGAACTTGTCAATTATTTGAAAACTTGAGCCTGAAAATAAAACAAACTCCCCCCCCAACTTAAAAGTCCAGTATTTTGTATAGTGTGTACAAAATGGGTAAAATTTTGACTTGCTGGAGTACCTACAGGGTTCTGTTCTCTGACCTAATTATCACTACTTAACTAGGAGTTTGATTCCTATTTTTAATACTCCAAGACACCACATATACTGGTGTAACTCACTGAGGTACCAAATCTGTGGACCTATAAGACACTCTTCGTTTCTAAACTCCTGTAGTCTTTTGTCAAAAGAAGAATATTCATGTTGTTTTTATTTCATCTTGGCATTTTAAGTCTGTCTCCTTTCCTCCTCTGCTTCCAAGATGTTAGTGACATACTCTGGCAGTGATATCACTGTTGCTCAAACATCAGTGAAGAAGCTCTCTGAGCAAGTGAGACAGTTGTGAGCTTGAGCAGCTGCACTGAACTGCGTGTTCAGAGATGTGAGGCAGCGGGAACGACTGTACAGCACTGTGAGAGCGCTTTTATACAGCCAGGCCTCCAACTCCGACCAAGTGCTGATGGCTCATAAGAGTGCTCTTTGGGAAAACAATTCATGGGCTACAAAAAGTGTGTATGGAGAAACAGCTTGGTAAATTAATATCCAGGAAAGAACTTCTGGTCACTCGGTCATTATGTCTGTTGACCCAGTTAGGACTTTTACAAAAACAGTTGACATCCCTTTGGCTGTGACTTCCCTGGTCATTTTCCTGTTTTAAGTCCCTAATTTAACAAAGCACTGATCTCTCTCTCTCTGAGAGTCTTTGACTGTGGAAACATTGCCCATGAGGTCTGGAAGACTTCTGGATCATTATTGCCACCGACTTCCTCTCTCTGTGAGCAAAGAGCTATCAGAGGTCAGCTGCAGAGTGGAAAGTGTGGCAGTAAATTGTGAGGTAAGCCCAGATTTTATATTGATGTGTCTTTATGCCAGAGTGGATGAAGAGCATCCACCCCTCCTGACAGAATATGGCAGATATATGTGAGTCATCATAAACTCCTTGATACCTGTTATTTCAGTGGACCTGTGGATTTTGTGTCAACAGACCTGACAAGTTTACTAATGGTCTGCTGCATGATTCTTGAATTCCTTTCTCTGTACAAGCAAAATGAATTGCAGAAAGGAAGAAAATCACATACAAAATGCAAAAAAAACCCCAAAAAAACAAAACAACAACAACAAACCAAAGACTTGCTGGTTGATTAAACTGTTGGTCTTAGCAGACCTTGAAAATTACTAGGATTGTTGTTGTGATATGTTTTAAATGTTAAACCCGTGTAAAGCTTTTAAAAATCATACCAATTAATTTATGTTGTTCAATATTACTGTAATAACTATTACCATGCTGGGAGGAACAGTTAAATCTGAAAACATTGAGAATTAGGTTCACAGATATTCAAATCCAGAGTAGCATTATGACATCAAATATTTCATTCTCTTGCACAGACCTAAATATTACTTCAGCAAGAAGCTCTGTCCTCTGTTGTTGAACAAGAGCATGCCTCAGTTTAACTCTCAGTTCAGTAAAACATTTCTATTCTGAATGATACTTGAGCTTAAGTTCAGACATGTCTGCAAGTCCATTGTATTTGATGTCTGAGGTTAATGAGGTTAACAACAGGCTGAAGTGTTGTCCAGAACCAGTTCAATTTGACAATATGTAACAAAGTACATGTGCACACCAACACTTCTATTTTTACATTTCCTCAGGATATAGGCAATGAAATTATTTAATAAGTATTCATCAGGAAATCTGCTTCATCATGATTAAGTGCTTACAGTTAAGCCTAAACTTAGTTCTGCACTAGGTGTTGACTGAAATTTTCACTGAAGTAGGAGCACAGTCCATGACTATATGCATCTAGCAAGACAGATTTATTAATTGAGGTGGTCAAGTCACACTGTTGCCTGACAAAGGATATCAGAAAGCTTTTAGACTTAAAAATGAACAACTCCATAAAGCTGGAGTTTGTCATGGAAACTTCATCACACCAACTAATTGGTGTTATTCGTTCACCCCATTAGAGTAATTATTTGTAATTGTTATTATTGTAGCATATGTCCAGCACTTAAGCAGTGCCTATTGCTGGGAAGAGCTGGATCATTCATCAGAGAAACAGAGAAATTGAGTTGAAAATGTCAAATCAGGCAGGCAGATGGAATTATCTCTTGTGGTATTTGCTCTTAAACAGATTTTTATTTTTTTCTCTTGCTTCCTCATACAGGCAAACAGGGAAGCAAATGACCACTATCTCCCAGTTTCACAAGAAAGAAGTCAGAAATACCATAACCACTGAAAGGCATCTTGAATAAAGGAACGCTTCGGTGTGGACCCTGTGTTCAGGAGTGAGTTCAGTTTCTCTGACACTGAAAGGTACCTTTGACCCAGCAAGGCTCCCATGAGCTCTGAGCTCTGGACCTGTGTCACTGAGAGACGTAGAAACAGCCAATGAGTCACCATTGAGCAGAGAGTAAATCCACAGATAACCACTGTATGTACCCTTCTAGCAGAAAAAAATAAGGGTACATACAGAAAATCTATCACAATTCTGTTTTTTCAGAACCCCAAGTCCTGCTGAATTGGTTTGGATTAAGAGAGAGGAAAAGGAGAGGACTCTTGGTAAAATATCAGGTAATTTTTTTCTCTCCTCTCATTAACATGGTCATAAATAATGAGGAAACTGATTCTAAAACTGTTCTTAAAAATAGATCATATCAGCTGTATATTTCCATTGATGATTTCCCTTGCATTGATAATGGTGATTCACAGTAATGTGATTTAAGTCAGAATTAAAAAGTATTCAAAACCTGCAGTTGTTTCATCTCAGTTTCTGAGATTCTGAGGTCCATTGAAACTTTACTTGCAATTACCCAGTATTATGAAAAAATGTTCCTTCATTTTTACATTAATTTGCTTACAGTTGACTTTATAATATCCTTTAAAAAAATTTGATGTTACACCCATCTGCATGTGCTTAAGCTCAGTCTGCTAAAATGTACTGCTTGAGCTCATGACGAAAGCTACAATTGTTTGCCTGCACAATACAAAAGGAAATAAAATGAAGGGTTCAGAATGGACTGTTGCAAATCAAGACTTCAAAATCTCAGTTAAACTGCTTTTTGTTCCAGTATCTTTTATTACAAGAAGAGACACTTATCAACGGATATTTGGGATATTTGGCAGCAAAACCGTAAAACTGAATGTTTGGATGATGATGAAGCAGCATTATTGTCTTCCAGGGCCACTAAAGTGGAAGTTTCCATTTACATCAATTTTTTAAAATGGGAGGGTTTGGGTCTTTTTCTGACAGAGATCTTGAACAGATAAGTTAAGCCTATTAGCCTGAATGTGACAGTTAATATGCTGATGTAAGAACGTACTTAAAGCCAAGAGCTCTTGGCTAGGCATTTTAACTCATTAAAGGAGAAATAAATGTCAAAGTGAAGAAGGTAAAATTGTAATACAAAATCTATTAATATAATAAAGCATACTGAAGATATTGCCTCTCTGTTATTTGTTACTAAATGGGTTGATATACATTCCTGTAATTAATAAAAATGTTATCTATAAGAAAATATTCTGTTCCCTTTCTTACACTGAAGGAATTTTATATAAAATAGATAGAAATTGCTCCTTTATTGTTCCAATCCTAAAATCAGTGTCCAATGAATAGCAATTCATGTAGTCCTGTGACCTGACATCGTATGTCCAAGCAACTTGTGGGAAATAAAGAAAAGAGCTTTTTAAAGGCGAGGTGAGAGAGGTTATAGTCTGGAAAAAGCTAATTAAAGTATTTTTTAAAAATTGTGTTCCTTAAGATCTTTCATTAAAAAACAAGCTCAATGAAAAATAAAATACACTAAGAGGGTGCTGATGTCACTGCAGTAGCAGTAGTCCGAGTGTGGACTGAATACTGCTTTAGTGATTCGGATATTTTGATATGGTTTGGCAAACGAAAACATTCTTACTATTAGTAATTTTTTGCTTCTGGATTTGCATATATGTATCATATCTGTTATATTAATTATATCTATTTTCACAGGTATAGACAGACATACCCTAGTCTTGTGGCACCCATGAATAGATCCAGTGAGCCTGTGCAGCTGTGTTTTGATCAGCAGAGAAGTTTCCTGGCATCTGAGAACTGAAATCACCTTTTGGGTATGACAAGTGCATCTAAGTATGTAGCAAGTGAAAATCAAGGGTTTCTGTAAGGAAGGAGTAAGAACACCTACCACAAAAATTAAAAGTAAAATAACCTTTAATAATCGCAACAATGCAAACCCCGTTCTGTGTATTGCTCTCAGTTGGCATTTAGCCATCCATCATTTGCTGGCTCATAAAGCTGATTTGTGCTCTCCCCTCCCCGTTTCCAGGAGCTGTTGGCCTCTTTTCACCACTCCTTTCCCATAGGCACATACAACTGGGACCCAAACACTCTTTTGTCTTTTCCTTAGGAACTCTGCTTTTTAACACATGGGGGAGAGGGGGAGTTTTGTGAGCAGCTTTCTTTCTTCTTCATTGCGCAATGCCACTTATAAACTCTCTCGATAGACACTTGGAAGGTATCTAAAATGTTAGACAAAGAAACAGGTACAATTCAGAGGAAAATTGACCTTGATTGAATAGGGTCAAAATGCTTCAACCACGTCTTTCATTTGAGACCTCCTCATTCACAGACTCAGACTTCTTTCATTGTAGCTTAGGGTTGACAAATATATGTGGGATCTGTGTTAGTCCCAACGATTAAGAAGTGTTAAGGAAACTACCCACTCTGACCATTCGGGAGACTCTGGCAGCCACGCTCCCGAGGCCAGACACTTGCACTCCTGGGATGAAGCCCCTTCACCGCGGCGGCTCCCGTGACTCCACGGGTCCCACTTGGCTCCCCACGCACCCCACTCACACAGTCAGACCAGGCTTCCTTACCGGTTCGACCCCAGATTTTCCATTGCAGTTTCAGATGTCTAGTTCCATAAAACCTTTTACTCACGGCGCAGTAACACAGAAACAGTCCGAGCAGGTGCTTCCGAGGAGGACCCTCAACCAAGGGACCCCTGGGCTTTTATACCTTTTATACCCTCATACTCTCCCCGTGCGCAAGTCTCGCTCTTCCTCCGGAGTCCACGGCTCCTGCCCCACCTCCCCGTGTCCATGTCCATCCACCTCACTGGCATCACCCGTCTTCATCTCCTTTCTTATCCAAAAGGTCGGCAATTCCCGGCTCCTGCTGTGTCTCTCAGTGTCCATTCACCTGGCTGGCGTCACCCATCTCTGTCCCTTTGTTATCCCCAAGGCTGGCAGTTCACGGCCTCTTGTCTCGGGCTTCCACCCAGAGCTCGATCTGCATTTCACTCTGCATCTCAATCTGCAGTTTGCAAGGGCAGCTACCTTGAGAAGTATTGCTCAACAGTAGTTCAGCTAGATTTGGTGAATTCTGTGACTAACCAAACTCTTTGTGGAGAGCACTTCTCACCCCAAAGAGTTGTAGCACTCAAATTGTTGAGAGCACTAAAATTTATTTTAGTGAAATCCTGTTTGGGTATTCCCCAGTTATTAGCACCTAATTTCCTAATTCCCAGGTGTAATTGTATATGTTAATTAAGCTCCCGAGGAAACACAAAAACTACTGAGCTCCAAATTATGTATCTAAGAATTAGAATTTTTATCTGGCATTTAGGAATTTAAGGCTGTTCTTAGAAACATTTAAAGGCTGTAAGACATCAAAGGGTTTTGAACAAAATACTTGTGGTCATTTCCAGATTTGGTCAGTACAGATACTTCTTGAGCTTCCTGGTGCAATCTGTTATCCCAGGCCCTTTTTGTTGAGTAGGCTAAGAATGGAGATTTACCAAAATATTTGATGAAGTTTTATATAGACTGTTCCAAGCATTTGTTTGCTATGTTATGCATCTCTTTAACCAAATGTTGTTTGTTGTTATGGAAACTCCTACTAATGAGAGCTCTTTGACCCATGAAATCATTAATCAACCAACAAAGTTTGGAGCTTTCAAGTAATTCTCAGTATTTCTGTTTTGATACTTTAAAACAGCATCTCTCTCGCTGTCCAAAATCAGAGATGGCACAGGCCTGACTCTCCTTCTCATCACTGAGGATGTTTTATATCACACCAGCAGTAAAAAGGGACCTGCAAAAAGTGAAGATGTAATTAGAAGCCCTTTAATATCCTTTTACACTATTGGAGTAGCAGAGAGGAATCTTAAACCTGTATCCTTATCCCTTTTGGTTTTTTGCTGGAAAGTACTTCAGCTAGGACTGATATGGATTGGGAACTGGGAATTCTTCCTCTCCTGTTCCTGAACTGCTGAAGAACAGCTACACCAACACACTCAGCACAAGCGTGTTTCTTCACATTTATCTTAGGTTAGCACTTTCCTTTATTTAACTGTCTCTGATCTGACTATATCTGATCATTCCTTCATCTCATTTTCACTTAACCTTTTGCCCTCCACACAGACTAAGCATCCTATCGGGTATCGCCCAAGGGACCTTCTTTCCCCTCCACTCCCCCTTCCTCCACTCTTTCTCCAATTTAGGTGCTTTATGCCATTCCTGGTAATTTACCTGATTGCATGGAAGGAGTTGTAGATCTTTTTATAATTGCTGTTTTACTTAAAACATTGATTCTTTAGCTCCTGCCTGTTTTCAGGTCATCACACCTTACTGGAGGTTTCCCTGGCTTAATGAGCAGCTCTGAAACCAGAGAAAGTACCAGACGATGGAGGGCATTGAACATTCTTATATTTGAAAGCCACTCCATAGCATCCACAAGAGGATTCTTGGCACCTGCCTAGTTAAACTGAATGTCCAATGTTATCTCTCCAGGCAAGTAAGATTCTGGCAATCACTGTAGTCCTATTTCACTCGTTCTCAGTCTTTTTGACACCAACACATTAATTCTCCCAAGCTCCTTTGGCAGCTGTAAGGAGTTCTCTCTTTTTTTTTTTTTAATATGATTGATAATATTGAGTATTTCTTTTAACCTTTTACTGCCATTGCTGAGCTAGGTGGGCTCCGATGTTAATCTCCACTACACAGTAGCACATCTTCTGATCACCTACTCATCATGGAGCTCATTTGTAAAATGCTGCTGCTTAATTTACAAAGTGTAAGAAGCTCCACCTGGAATTAGCCCTACAACGTGTCATTCTCCCAATACTCCCACTGTCAAAGGTCACATAAAGCAAATTGCTTTATGCAGAAACTCCTTCTAGTTTAACACAAGGAATGGCAACCCTTGGACAAAATGTGACTATATAGTTTCATATGATGCACTGGAAAGAAATACATCCTAGAAAGGGTGCAAATAATGCAGCTACTCTGGTTCAATGCAGGATATGACCCAACTGAAATGTACTGGTAAAAAATGTCATCATTTTCTTCACTTCCAAATTCTCAGGAAAAAAAAAAGAAAAGGAAAAAAAGGTTGTCTGAGGAGACACAAATATATAAAAACAAAAAGACCTCCCAGGCTGACTTGAAATATGTTCAAATTACACATCTACTCTCTGCTCCCTAGAACCCAGTAAATATTTCTTTGGCCCTACAAAGTGTTTTAGTCTGAACCCAGGAAACCTCAGACTGACCTTGAAAATAAGATTCCTCAATTTTCAAAGTAAATGTCTTGGCCACATTACTGGAGGAGTTGCACTTCTCTGATTGAACGTATAAAACTTGTCTCTTTTGGCAAATGGGGTAGATTATACTGTGGGGAACTGGTTGTTTTCCCAATTAACTGACCATAGGCACTTTCAGACTCTCTTTCTCAACTTTTACACCTCAGTACAATGCTGGTGGCAAGGTTAAAATATCTATATTGGGCCATAAGGGGCAGGGTTAAGCCTGTGAAAAGCAGTGGAGTGGAGATACACTGACCTACCTTGCTAAGCATCCAGAGCATATCTCCAGAGATTTTGTTCTGTCTTCTCCTCAGGTTGTACTGGATGGCTAAACAGCTTTTGATGCTGTAGCATCCTTCCAGCTTACCTTGAATCCAGTTTGAGATTTTAGATTGTCTGGATTTGATTAGCTTTATCAGTTTATTTTCTTCTGATGTTTTTCTCTTCTGCCAGCTGCATTAACTCTTCTTTCACCCAAGACTCACTCCATGGTGGGTGTAATGAAAATACTCTTTTGCAACAGTCTTTGACATCATCTCCTGACAACATCTGACTTATATTCAGGTATAAATTTCCCAGGTCTGTTTATCAGTTCTCTGTGGAAAGGTAGAAGTGGAAGTTCCACAAGGAGTGGAGGATAAGAAAGGTCTCAAATTCCTCTTCTGATGACTGGTCAATGTCTGTCAACTGACGCTGAAAATCACTGTGATCGTAGCCTTCCTTTTAATATCAGAGCTGCTTTCAGGACCTCAGACATAACTGCCTTCTGTCCAACAGTCTCGTTTAAAACAGACCAAAATAATAAAGATGGACGCTTTGATCGAGATCTACCATATTAATTGAATTAAAGCTGGCTTTAATTCTAACAAAAAAGCAAATGCAGTATTGAGTGCTAAATAAAATAAGGTGATACTTTTTCAAAATGAGCCTTTCCAGTTTTGCTTCAGCTTGAGTTCCTCACTTGAGGCCAACCATAAGTGCTGGAATGCTGTCAGCTAGTGTTTCATGGAGGCTTCTGGTCCAGGGCACCAGTGCAGACATCCAGCTGCCCAAGCTGTGGCCCTTGCACCCTCTCCATGTCCTGCTGGCTCCTGTGTGTGCTCAGGGTTTCATTAGGTTGCAAGTTGTAGCCACGTGGTGCAGATTTAAGAGCTCCACAGGGCTCAGGTAATATCCATACATCTGAGAAGGACAATACTGCTCTCCAAACAGAATGAACCTTTGAACTTTGTTAGGGTTTTGATATGACATTAAGCCTCAGATTTATAAAACCAAACCAGAACAAAAGCGTACTTGCTTTCATTCTGTGTTCTGATTTTGCACTAAATTGTCAGCAAAGCAGACCTTTTACCTATAAACAGATGGCACACAATTCTATGGGATTTTCCCACATTTGATGAACACACATCAAGTCCATTTACATGAGCATGGAAAATATTAAAATGACTACCAGGTCTGCATAGTGTAAGACACCTGGAGCACATTGCTGCCAGCAAGCTTCTGAGGTGGGGATATTCTGGCACACAGTCACAGTTCTGGGGACTGGGCCATTTTTGACTCAGGTTATTGCATCTTTTGACACCTAAAGACATGTTGACCTCTGACCCAGAAACATCTGCAACGTCAAACTATAAAATCGGGAATGGAAATGTAGCCTTTTTTCCCCCCTTACTGTTATTTTTATTTTCTATTGAAAAAGGTTTTAAAAGGCCTATGAAATGTAAAATTGCTTTTTTGCCATAGTTGCAAAACTCATTTCAATTTTTATCTGAGATGCACTTGTAGAAAATTTCCAGAGTTGAAAAGCTAATACAAAAACCCCACTCTGAGGACCAGAGTCCAAAGCCCTGAGCACCGCCCAGCCTTCATCTCTGGGGGCCTGAGGAAAATGGGAGGGGTGTGTCACAGTGACCAGCCTAGTCCACACTCCCTCTATTTACCCCTGCTTTTCTCCAACAGTTTATATTGCCTGCAAAGTTCTTGCATATTCTGACTTTCCTTCCTAAAGTAGCTCTGGCTGATTTTAACTCACCAAGCCCTAACTTCTACTTCTTCTGTGCAGGCAAAAGTGATAAGTATCTGGGCCATCACTGCTGCTCCTCTGACATGGCCCATCATGGGAATACCAGCCCTGCTGGTGTCTGCACCAGTGACTGTAGTTTCTTGTACTGTATACTAATGCCAACTGAAGTCTTCCTTTCACCTTTCTTGTTGCTCCGGCAATTTATGTGCACAGATTTTATTTTACTTAATTTTGCCTAGTAACTTCTACCTGAAAAAACTGAGCTGGGACCTTTCTGTGTGTCAGTGTTCCCTCCTGCAGAATGAATTTGTGTGGTTTGTAGTAAAATGTGACTATCTTTGCATGAATGGCACTACAGAAATCCCCAGAATTATTGTAGTCAATTTTTTGTTTCATTTAACATGAGAGGTAATATATAGGGCAGAGTAATATACTATGTTCACAGATGGGTTATTGCTGTGATTGAGTTGGCCAAAATTAACACATTTCCCATTAAAAAAACCAAACCAAACCAAACCAAAACCAAAAACCAACCAAACAAGAAACTTTGGAAAAGTTTCTCTTTTCTGAGTACAGGCATTTTATGTTAGAGCCTTAGAGCTGATTCTGTCTCTCCCAAGTTATAAACCCTTATGGATGTACCATAAAGATGTCTACCTAATGCAGAGAAAAGCAGATTAATTGATCACAGTAATATATTCTTATCCACTGAATAAGAGCATTCCACACATTGTTTCTTGTTTTGTTTCTGGCTTGTAAATCTTCATTGTAGAATACAAATGAAAATGACCCAAATATGTATTATTTATGAATAGGACTCTCAGATATTATGCTTTAGATTGATTGTGTTAGACAGGATATAACAGAGGCACAATAAGTCAATGAAAAATAAAAAGCGGCAAAAATGTTTCATGCTAAAACTGTAGTTCTAGTGACACCTCTTATATAAAGGACATTTCCAGCACATTGACATTTATATTTATCATGGCTGTGCATGTGATTTACAGTTGTCTAAGGTACTGAATATCAGGAATATCCATGCACATACACACCCCTTTGAATGATGGCAAGTCATAGACTGCTGCATTGCCCCTTATACAGCAAGCTTTTCCTCCCCTTTTTATTTTTCTTCTCTAGCTGCAGGGACGCAGAGGAAGCAGTAGATCAATAGGGTGTCTTGACTGAAGTTGCCTGCAGCACTTCCATTTCTCAGACTGGACACTGATGCTAACTATCAATAGCAATAAGAGGCTGTCTCAGACAGAATTAAGGCTCCTTCTTCTGCATGGCTGTCTGGTGCTTACTGATAAACATCTTGTGCACAGGATTGCAACAAATAAACCATTTCAAGTGTGCAAACTAGCCACTGTCAGTCTTCCTATTGATACTTGCTGTGGGCTGACGGCACTGATAGTTATTTTCATACAGCTGATAACATGTTAGATAAGGGTACAGATGGATAATAGTACAAAGGCATACTGCTATAAAGTGTAGAAACATCATTGATGAAATTCTCTCTGCTCCTGTAGAAACCCTGAGACAACAAAAGACGAAAATATTGACTTATGTTCAAACTACTTAAGAGAAGCTACAGCTAAATTTAACTATTTATTAACCTCTGATTTTTAGGTAATGTTAAAGATATCCTGCCAAGCTATTTTATTCAGATGTTATTCATTTTTACCTCTACTGCATTTGCAAGTTTATTCTGGAAATAAAAGTCAACAGGGGCTGGATGCAGCTATGATATAGATGGGGAGGTGATGTGCAGCATCATGGTCACTTGTCATTTGGCCTGAGCTATACACCACACTAGCAGTTGCTAATTTTGGAATAACTGAGCCACTTTAGCTTCCCTCCCTGCAAACAATCAATTTGTCGACTGATCTATAGCTCTGTAGTACATTCGTGGTTTTCAGCCTGAATAAGGATGAAGAATCAGGTTCTCACCCACCCACCCATTAAAATACCCTGGCCCGGATCTTCTTGGTGGTAAGTCCTGTTATAACTCTGCTTAAGTCAGATATCCAGTGGAGTGATGCCAATTTGCATCAAATTAAGTGCTCACATGCTAATTGAGGTTTATTTTTCTTTTAATTTTGCTTTAACTGATGAGGGCAGGGGAAGTGGTTCAGATGCTCTGCTGTAAAATCAACAGAGCCTTATTTCATATCCTCCCTCTGTGGAGCTCTAACCATCTACAGGAGCAAACAATTTGCCTCTGAGACATCTCCAGCTTTATATGAAGTGGGCTT